CATACACACACATATATATATATATATATATATATATATCTGATGTTTAAGACTAGTGATATTGTAAACTCAACAGACTAATGTTAGTATTAGTGTTTGTTTTGATTATCAGAGTTTTTTTAAACATCTGGGACCATATAAACGTTTAAAATAAACTTCTTCAAATTAAAGCATAAAAACAATATTTAGTAGAACAGTGTAAATAAAACTTCATTATTGATTGATGACAAACTCCCGATACTTGTATCAATACTGTGAATAGGTAGTGAAGATGGTATGATGCAGTGTATGATGTCTATAATATATTTAGATGTTTTATTTGTTGTATTAATGAGTATTAACATACTCAGTATACTGCCAAATGTGTAAGGAAATTTTTTATCTCGGGCATTTTTTTCTGCCTTGTAAAATGTTTATTGTTGTACATTTACCACAGTAATTTCAAAAAAGACTTGAATTTGAAACCAACAGTTCATTTTTATGAGCTCATTGTACAAAGTTGCATTTTTCATCTATAAAACTGACATTTTCTTTGTAAAGTAAGGACCATGTTTTTTTAAAGTAATATTCATTAATATTCCATTGTTTAAGATCTAGTCTAAAGGTTCGTAAAATATTTATTTCAAAAACAAATATTGGTAAGTATGAATGTACTTAAAGCTTTATCAAAATTGTTTTTAGCTACTTATCTAATCTTTGATAATCTGAGAAAGAGTAGCTGTTGTATCAAAGCCAGAGTAAATTTCTAGTTATCTCATTCTGGAAATCTGTTTTTGTTTTAACTGGTAAAATTATTATTTTTTTCTTTAGTTTAAGGGAAGATGCTTTTCTCTGACCTTGTAATTTGGTTTGAGTTTTAAACTGTTTCTGATAATTTTCCCTGTTGCAATGTTAATGTTGTTTTTGAAACCTATATCTTTTTTTTTATGCTTGGTTTTTACTGTATATAACACATACTATATGCATATAACTGATGTAAGGAATGAAAAACCTGTATGCATATTTATTTTTTTTCTCTAGCCCTGTTATTTTTCTGGTGAGCAGTATGTTTACTCAGATGTTTGTGTACTTTTAACCTTTATCTGCAAATGACAAAAATATCTCAATTTGCAATATAGGGTTTCAACTGGACCCCATGTTTTGAAATCAACCAAATATATGATTGCTGTAAGACTTGCATTGTTTTAATCTAGTTTAAACATTTCCCGTGTGTTGACGGGTATTTCAGTCTGTATTAGTTAAAGATGATGATTTAAAGAAAGCTGAAGATCTCTTAAGTGATTCTACTAAATTTGTGAAATTGCATAATGATCTAGTTTTAAAAGAAAATCTAAATTCCAAAGACATCTATTGCAATTGAAAAAGGATAATCTTCATGAAATACAGTATCTGAACATCAGACCATTACCTGCTACCCCAAGACTTTTTTTATGGTTTACCCAAAATTAGTAAAGGAGGAGTTCCATTACAACCTATTGTTTCTAATATTGGAACATATAAACATGCTTTAGCTGGTTTTTTTTAGTTGAATACCTGAAGAAGTTTATCATCAATGATTACACTTTAAAGGACAATTTTGAATTTTCTAAAGAGATCCAACAGTTGATTGTAATTTGCACTGTGCTAGTTCTGATGTTGAATCATTGTATACAAATTATACCATTGGAAGAAACCATACAGATAAGGGCCAACATGATTTACAGTGATGTTTTCAACAATGTGACCAATCCCAAACATGTTTTTCTGAACTTTGCAGTTACGGAATCTCACTTTCTTCTGAATGGAAAAATTTTTGATCAGGTTGATTATGTTGCTATAGGTTCAAGATTGATGCCATCTTTGGTTAGTTTGTTGTTGTGAAAAACAGTGACTAGAAAATTGACCACAACAGTTTAAGCCTCTCTATTATTGTAAGTATGTTGATGACACTTTTCCTATCTCTGAGCATTCTAGTCAAGCTTCCCAATATTTCCATTGTTTGAACAGTAGACACAGCAGTATAAAGTTTACACTAGAGCATCAAGAAGATACTAAATCTTTCTTTTTTTTGACACTTTAATGAGTAATAATAATGATCACTTCAGACATGAAGTGTACTACCAAAAAAAAAAAATGACATTTACATGCTTCATTCCCAATTTCTCTAAAGAAAACTTGGTTAAAATATTGTTTTATTTTGCTTATAAAATATCTAGAATATATGAAGTGTTACATAAAGAATTCAACAACATGAAATAATTTTTGTGAAGGGATGACTTCCCTATTCTTTTATTTATAGAATATTTCCTAATTATTTAAACAAAAGAAGTGTTAGTACATCAGACACATTAGGAGTACTAATTTGGGTAAATAATCGTTAATTGTTAAAAATCAGGTAAAGAATATCATTAAAAGGCAGTATCCATAGATACGGTTAAAATGTATGTTTACATCTAGTTGTTGCCTACAGTTTTTCTTTATATTTAAGAACTGAAAGAAAATTGATAATATAAGTGGAAGAAGGTAGTAACCCTAGATCCCCCATTAAATCAAGTGTACGTGAATATACCCTAAGAGAATGTATTATTGTTGTCCAGTCCAGTATTAAGTACAACGGAAAGTTTCAAATATATTTCTCCCTGTATTTGTGAACACCTGTGATTTATATTGTATGACCAGATCATTTATGTAAGCACAGATTTAATTAGGTAGTAGACTGGGCCATTCACAATATACCAGTATTGATGTTAATATCAAACATTCAAATCTTCTAGACTGGTAAAGAATTATTGTAATTATGTTTGATAAGTCATTTGCTATGTAGTGTGAAGGTATTTCAAAAACAAATATTGCCAACCATAAATAAGACCACTCAGAGATTTATCAAACTTGTTTATAGCCACTTATCTGATGCAAATCACATTTCAGCAGTGATTCTTTAATGTGATACTCAGTTAATGAGTGGGTCGAAAAAGTGAAAGGTTAATTTTTCATTTGCATAAAATGTAGCTGAAATTGTTTTTTTTATGACACTTAAGGTTTTTAATATGTGAATTATAAGTCAGTTTCTACTCTATAGCCAGATTATTAGTGAGTATACAGTTGACTTGAGTTTGCATTTTTTATAATGTTGTTACAAAAAAAAAAGTAAGTGTGTGTATATATATATATATAAATTGGAAAGAATCAGATAAATTGTGTGTGTGTGTGTGTATAATACAACTTACTGTTGAATAAAAAAGATCATTCTAAGCCAACCTTTTTTAACAGCTGTTCTTTTAAGTGTCCTACAAGTGTCTATCAACTTAGTAGTTTCAACATTTCATCTTTATAGTTACTATCTGATTTAAAACTTGTAGATGTTCAAAAGATATAGGCTATCACCAGAACAGCGTTTTATGTTTTTATTTTCATCTTTGGCAATTTTAACATTAGAATCAAAACTTAAATCCAAATTCCATATTCAAATATTAATAGGAAGTGTTTGAAATTAAACTTGCACTATTCAGCTAAATAAACCATAAAACAGAAATACAAAATATTAATCTATGACAGTAATATGTGGAATCTTGCACATGATGCAGAAATAATGAAATAAACACATTGATCACATTACAACCATAAAATCAGTACAGTTCTGTAGAGAAAAAAAGATAAAAGTTTGATTTTTTTTTTTTTGAGAATTCTTTTACTGAAGGTACTTTAAGCAAGATTCATCAGTCTTAAGTCCTAATATTATTTCATTTAAAATGAAAAGTCAAGAACAGTTTTGATCAGCTGACTAGCAATATGGCAGTTTTTCTGATTGGGCAAACTTTGTTTTTTGTAATATTAGTCATGTTTTTAATCTAGACATTTGTTATATATGGATTTCAACAAAGCCAAGTTCTTAATATACATGAAAAATTAAGCATGTTATTGCACAAGCATTTCTATTATCTTTCAATAGAATTGTTTAATTGATGGAAATTTGATTTTGATTTTCTCTGAGACATATTTGCTTCTGTGATAATGGTTATAATCTGCCTTGGTAGTTTTTTTTTTGTATAAAGGCATCATTGGAGATATTTCAATAACAATATGTTAGGTCTCACTTTACATAGAGCAGAGTTCTCTCTAAAAATATAAAAAATCACGAAGAACTATGTTAATGTTTCACCCAACTGAATGCATACATAAACCATATTCATACCTAAGCCAAGGTCTAGCTTCATCAACCCAAGAAGTACAATTGTGAGTAAGTAGTCAGTGTGCAATACTACCCAGCTTATACTATTGGTGAAGCCATGCCTTTTTTTTAAAAAAAAAGAACAAATCTGTATAAACAAGTAACATAAAATGCTCCTCACTTGATAACTTCAATTATAGTAGGAAAAATAGAAGTGTATTACTTGTATGTATGTAGCTAATCTTTAATGCACACCCCTAAAAACTTCAGTCTTTTTTTGGTTTTTTATTTGCAGAAGCCACCTTGGTCACAGCACTCTGTCCAACAGAAATGACACCAGATCCTACAGATATTGTTGTGTTAGCTGCCCACTTAACTCCCCCTACCCCAATTCCTACAGCCCCAGCACCAATGTTGTATAATCCTGAGGAAACTTTTCCCATCCAACTACTCTGGGTTGGAGCCTCCACTGTAGAGTTAGGACCTGAAAAAAAGGAGAAAATAAACCTCGGGCTCATTCACAATAGATGCACAGTAAAAAAGAAAATTGGTGCATATTTTTTACATTATAAACTTCTACTGAAAATTGCTATTGAAAGGAATTTAAAACATCAATATACAGGTATTCAGAAACAGTATTCAAGAAAATATAATATTAAAAAGTATGAAACAGTAATTTTGAAATTTTTTTATAACTTTTAAGTTTAACATTTATCACTATATGACCTTAAATAAGTATATTAAATCAGTATATTAAAAACAACTAAGAGCCCAGTTAACAATAAACTAACCCTATAGAGTTGAGGAAAAACAAGACAATTTTATGTTTCACAAGTACATCATTTATTCATGACCATGGTTTTGCCAGTAAAGGCATCCTCAGGTACAGACTGAAATAATTTGTAACAGGTTTATAAATGTTGAAACAAAGAACTGGAAGTAATCTTGACATTCATCTAGAGACAAGTGGAGAGGAGCTTAAGTTGGCTTGGTAGTTTAGAACTTTTTTCTGGATTTGTTTTTAGACTTTATTTCTAAAATTTCCAGGCTATCTAATTTTTTTTACTTTTTTTCACAGATATATTGTATAAACATATATAAACCAGTTAAAAAAAACATTTTAATTATACCTGATGGTGCCTTTACTGGCAAAACCATAGTCATGAATAAATGCTGTATTTGTGAAACATACAATTGTCTGGTTTTTCCTCAATTCTGTAATTATGGAGCTTCACCAAGTACCAATGGTTTCAAGTATCAATTATATAAACTAACCCTACATTATTCTACTTTGCCATATTTGATGTCAACAATTTTTAAAAAGGGACATCTCTTCACTTATTTGCCAATCTGGAAGCTTTAAGAACAAGGAAAATCTACAAATGAAATATTCCATTTATTTTATTGAATAAAAATTCCAGTGCATTTATCAACTTACAATAAACTTTAAATTACTTAGAAAAAAAGAAGGGGGACCAGTTGTGATGGAAGCTACATTTTATCAGCTGCTTAGTCTACTATATACCTATATTGTATAGTTTGCACCTGTCACAGGCAATGAAACCGACTATTTTTCTATTTCACCTTGTACAGTAGAACTATTTGTGGATCAGTATAAACGAGTTATATATACATATAACTTGTTTTAAAGTTCACTTAAGCATGCAAGATAATTATTTCATTGGTGGCACTTTTGCAACAGCTAACAAGAAGCAAATACATTTATAGATAACTACTAAGGTACTACAATGGAATCAACTTATGTTATGTAAATCTTGATTTTTCTTGAACTAAGAATCTATTCTTTAGTAAATTTCTTTAGGTAAAAAAGTTAATTTCGTTATCTTGATGATTGCATCATAGTAAAAGTTGAAAACGAGGGATTATGCAGAAGGTTACTGTTTAAATGCCAAAAACTGGTGAAATATTGGAAGACCAATAATTAGCATTTCATAGCATCTTATTTCTCTTATCACACAGCTCAACTGATGAGTTCTGGTATTGAATGGAAAGTGTACTGGGCAGTGACTTGTGGAAAATAAAAGATAGATCTGAAATGCTTTTTTTCCCCCACACCACTGATTTCAAGCTGCAATGGACAAATTAAGAGGAATGTGGAAAAACAAAACATCTACTGTTAACTTGTTTTTATATGAAATATCCGGAATATCTTGTAGGTGTTACCTTTTTATGCATGAAACAAACTGGATCAAAGATTAGTAAGGTCAAACCTATATTAACTTGTATTCCAACCTACTGCCTTAATACTGCACCAGATATTAATAAACAGAGAAGTACTGTATGCTATGTTTCTTCCTTTAGACATTTGTATTATTGTGATGTGCATGAATTAATGTATAAAACCTTCTTGGAAGTTTAGGAAATTATTTGAGTAGTATAAAAACATGAGTAAGTGTAAAGTAGTGAATTATTTATTGATTAGTGAGCCTGTTCCAGTAAATGATTAAGTATGATTTTTGAGTTAGCAGGTTTAGTTAGTTGGCTATTTCACTCAGTTTTGTAAATTATACGTTTGTGTTTGCAATGAAGTACTAGATATGGGAAAGTGACTTATTTACAAGAGACGTTAGTAAATAAGTGGAACTGTTGTATTGGTATTTACTTTTAACTTAGGCCAATCAGTAAGCATTATTTAAGACAATTTGTATAACTTACAGTCAAAGAAATAGAAAATTTTTTGTTATCACTAAATGGACTGAGCTTTACATTAATTTTTTCTGAATAATACAAAAGAACTCAACCAACAACAGTAAAACATGTTGATTAATACTAGTTTTACAGATACCACTGTTTGACTCAATCTCGTAATGTAAGGTGCGACATTGCCTCAAGAAGATGTGTTGATGTAAGAAGCAAATGGACACAAAGTTCCAGCAATAGAAAAGTTAGAAGTCACCATCACTATTTGGAATTTCTCTACATATCATAATCCATCTGTAATTAACATTGAACAAGAGTACATTATGCAGAAATATGCATTTTAGGTTAGACTTGCTTGTAACAGTTTCACATTTTATGATCAAATAATTCCAGTGAACTGTATGACAATTTCACTGTCAGATGTTCAACTTTCAGAGATATCGGTGATGGAAGCTAAAATAGAGTAGAATACAGAAAGATGGATGGAAAAAACCAAAAGGAAATATACTATGATTGTCTTTGTTGATATATCAGAGGGAGTTTGTTCAAATCATTAACTTCCGAGAGGACTTTGGTAATAAAAGTTACCCACAGATACCTTGAAAATCATAACTTTTAATTGAGTAAAGGGTGTTTCAAAATAATAATGCACAAAATAAATAATTTTTCTTGCAAACTAGCACTGCTTTTATTACCCTTTTTTCTATCACTTTCAACAATACCAGATTAGTGGTGAGTTTAAAAGTATGCATGTTAATGTGCAGGGTATTGTAAGGATCAATATAATGGACACTGTTCAGAAACATAGTACTTCAGTAAAGGATAAGTTTGGTATGCTGACTGAAAATTAAGGAAAGCATATTTAACAGTTTTTAAAACTACTCCACCATGCCAAACTTCCCAAATAAAACTTACAATACTTAAAAGTGTCTCTGTTAAAATTTAACTCCCCTAGAACGTTTTTTTGAATAGGTAATTATTTTAAATAAAGAAATTTCCTTTATAATCATATTACCTATATGTCTCTGTTTATACAGGGTTTAGTATGTTATATTAAAACGATTTTGAATAAGCAGATCAGTGGATCATGTGACAACCATTATAAAGTCATGGTGGATGTCATCATGTGCAGCATTTATAGATTTCTGTGTGACTGACTGTTGAAACAGGCACTATGAAACTGTCGTCTTGAATAATAGAAGAATTATGGAAAGCATTCAAAATGCAGCAGTGTGCTTTAGACATGACAGCCTTACAACAAAGATTTTCTGTGGAAACTATGTTGCAGGGTATTGTGAAGATGCATGGCTAGATGTAGTGTGAAGCTCCAAAAACATTGCAAGCTAACATACTCAACCCTCTGTACAGCATACAAATTAATTGTTATTATTCTTCAAGCTTTTTTTCCCATCTATTTTTTTTTTCTTAGTAGAATAAAAGATAAAGGATCTGACTAATCATTAAAAAAAAGACAAGTTGGATCCATGGTTTTAATATTTTCCACCACGGATTTTTTTTCTAGACAGAATTATGAATTATTTCTTAGAAGCAATAAAACTGTAGTCATTGGTTGGCATTTGCTGGGAGAAACCAAACTATTTTTTTCTCTCGATCCAATGGAGTTTATTGAATCAAATATATTTTAAAGTAAAATTGTGTAAGCAAGACTGGTAAAAAAATGATCAATTGATCGAAGATTAACGTTATTTATACTTTCACAAGACTTTTTGTTTCAATCTAGCTTACATGTTTCTGTCTCAGCAGCCTTCACTGATTCTGACTGATAATCCATCGTCACTGGTTCTACATCAACAGGTTCTGGCTGGGAAAAGAAAGTACATAAATATATTAGCAAACTCTACTGTCTCAGATTTCAAACTGCCCCCCCCCTGGCTCAACAGTAACTATGCATGCTTACGACGCTAAAATTCGTGTATCGATTTCTGCTCAGAGCATAGATAACCCACTGTGTAGCTTTGTGCTTAACAATAATCAAACCAATTCAAACTGGCAATACCAAAGTAATTTTACTTATAAAATTAATTCAATCTATGTTGTTCTATTTTCTTACTGACTGTGTTATTGAAATATAAAATTATGACTTTATTATTATTATTTTTTGTCATTATCGTACTACAGTTTCTTTCCATTCTAAAATTAAATCATAATTTACAAGTGAACACAATTATGGAGCGCATGACTTGTTAGAAATTCACAAGATTTTTTTTCTCTAACTAGACGCCCACGACACGTTCTCATCTCGCCTATTTCACAGCTGCATCTGGTTTCTATCATTACATGCGGAAACGCGTACACAAAACCTTCCTTGCCTCAGTTTCAGTCAAAGAAACTATGACGCATATCTTACAGCAAGCACACTTTATAACTATTTGCAAGTCAGTTCAGTTACTTGTGAAACTGTATATAAATAAAGGTGAAAAAAATGCCTTTTTTGCACACTGAAACTTCATGCTTTACTAGTTACTTAAAAGCCTGGTAAAGAAATTACTAATAAAATTATTTAACAGTCGTAATTTTCTAAGTTATTTAAAAGAGCTGCAAAACTTTCTTGAAATGTCATGCACCGCAGATCTTTTACAAGTTGTTGGTTTTTTAATTAGTAGCTACCAGTCTTTTTAATCAATTATTTAATCTTCCAAGAGAGAATATTTTTAGAGATAAATTTTTAGGCCGTGTGTTGACATGTTGACTTGTTTCATACGAATTGCTCCCGAGCACGAAAAACGATTTTAACGAAATAAAAACAGGTAGACTTCAAACGCCATTAATTATGATATGTGGAATAGGAAAACTCATTTGGTTTACACCTGTTACCACTACTGCTTTGCCAATTTATGGACCCTCTTTCACTAATTAAGCTATATGACTACCTCAGCAAGTTAAATAAATTAGTAAGTTAGCTCAGCAACATCGCCCAATCGAGAAAACAGCATATTATGATCAAAAGGTATTGTGGGAGCCATATTTTCAGGCTCAGCCCGAAATAGTTCCTAGGGTAAATGGATGGAAGAGTGAACAAGAAGCTATTCATTTCAAAAAGACCAGCTTTAACAACATTAAGCAACCTTCCAACAGAGAGTTGTAACAACTACTAGATATTGGTGGCCGTCTTATCAGACAGATTTGAAGGAAATTTCAAAAGCAAAATCTAGGAGCAGAATAAAGAAAAAGGACGAGACCTTGGCCTAAGTTACGGAAGATGTCGCAAGGCTTGCTCATTTATCTTATCCATATGATCTATGTGAAATGATGGATTCATTGGCATGTGATCAATTCATAGATGTTATAATGAATGAGGATATGTAAATTAGGCTGAAGTAAAATAAGTATTTTTTTAAAGGAAGCCGCCCAGTTGACCATGGAACTTCTATCAAAGTCACAGATAAGCAACTAAAAGTAACATCCAGTAATTATGTCATATCAAGCAGAGTGAAAACATCAATTCTGTATGATAGAAGAAATAAAAAATAATAATTATACAATTGGTTACTCAGAATTAAAGAGGTAAACCACAGAACAGTAAGTGTTTCAATTGCAGCTTCAAAGAACATATTACCAAGATCTGCAGAGAAAAACCTGTAAGAAATAAAACTTTTGCTCAAAGGTTGAAAGACAAAGAAAACTGCTGTAAGTTTGGAAAATATAAACACTACAGTCGAGTCTGTGATCAATGAACGTATGATACTACACTAAGGAGACAATACCCTGACGATAAATCCCAGTATTCACCTACATCCAAGAAACAATAGGGAGATAATCAGACATGGAAAAAACGAATTAGTTGGACTTAAGAGGTGAAGTTCACCTGAGAATACTCCATCTATGCCAATCGAAATAAGGAGTTCACTAATTAAAAGAACCAGCCCACAAAATGTTAAATTCATTAATTGGAACCCTTAAAGCATATTGATTGACATTTGGGTTCTAGAACTCCATTTTTTTACCTGATTTGGTAATGAAAGGTGAGAAATTGCCTCCAGAGATAAAGCAAGAAGATGGGTTGATGTGGACAGTGCGTGGTCATAAAGTTCCACATAGATATAATTTTGGTTTATAAAAAATACCATGATTATATCTTAATTTCATGCCCATTTAAAATTCTTTGATGAAATTAGGAAGAAGAAAAAACCCACTTTTACAAAATTATAGTGTGTATGTATTTTTTCTATTCAGTTTTAATTGAAACAGTAAAAGGGATAAATTTTTTGACTTCTCATGTGAACAATGTTATATTTTTGCTCTTGGTGATATTTCCAAGGAAATTATTTGCAACAAACGAGAATTACACTACCAAAGGTTGAACTTCCATTGACAAGAAGGGAGACAGTTGTTATACCACCACAAAATGAGATACTCCTACCAAGACACATTAGGAAAAACGTTACATTTAGTGGCTGGGACACAGCAGAACCAAACACTCTAGCTTGTCTTGAGGGATTACTTGTTGGGAGAATTTTTGTGGAACTTAAGAGTAAGGGTGTTATCATTAGGACCATGAACCTATTAAACCATGTTGGAATTCGAGTTAATTCTGGACAGGACATTGCAAGATGTAAAGCTGTACCAGTAGTACTTCCACATCAAAGAATACCAATCATAAGTAGTAACTTTAGAGACAAGATATAGGGAGTGTGATGTCAAATAATCAGAAGAAAGGGCTTACAACCTCATTCATAGGTGATTTATGACTGAAGCTATGAACGTCTTACAACAGTCAATGCCATAAACTACATGACTTGTTCATGGAACACTAAGATTCCTTCTCCAGTGAACCTCATGACTTAGGCCAGACAAATAAAATAATCATAAGATTGATACTGGAGATGTGACCACAATATGACAATTAGTTAGATGAATTCCACCTGCAAAATAAGCCGAGGCTTTTAAAAATATAAAAGCCTTGAATGAATAAGGAGCACTAGAACTGGGTGCTAGTCCTTGGGCATTACCTATAGTATTTTTGAAGAATGATGGATACACTAGGTTTTGCATGGACTACTGGATGTTGAAGGAAGTCATAAAGAAAGATGCCTACCCATTGCCAAGGACTGACTTTACTTTGGATGCTTTAGCTGGATCAAAATGGTTTTCAACACTCTGTTGTGTTAGCGAGGTCACGTGACTCGTTCTCTCGAACCTTCGGGAATTGTCGGGAGATTACTAGATATAGGGTAGTCTGGTATATATAGGAGGGTGGCAGCGTGACGTGACAATGTGTGTAGGTAGTGAGTAATTGATCTGCAGGGAGGAAGTATTGTTGAAGTTAACGTTCGTTATAGCGTTTGTTTTAGTGCGAATGTTGAAATCAAGTGTATCATGAAGTTATATTCAGGAAGAAAAAACCAGTTCTATTAAGTAAGGACTTGTGTCGCT